TAACTCCTATCTCATCTGCACCAATTAGTTCCTTTGTAGGCAAAACCCCTCAAATTTGGCATTGCGTCTTAAATAGGCAGTAGCTCCCTTCTGTTCAGTGACATCATCTGCATCCCCTAGCCTTGAAGAGTTGTCTTGCAAACATTACAAAAGTAGTCATTGTCAGAACTAGGAATAAAGCAGACAACTCTAGTCTTCATGGGAGCAGATCAGCCACTCAGCCACATTCGGCAAGTGTTTATTGATCACTTATTATATTCTAGATATTTAGCTAGCTGTTGGGGATGTCTAAGTAAACATAACTGAAATCAGGGCCAAGAAGTATTAAGAGGCAGAATGAAAGGTACTGCGAAGAGCCCTGAAGACAGAATGGACGGTGCCATGTGGGAAGTGGTAAAAAAGGAAGGTGAGCCTCATTTCATGAGGTCAGACAATATTTGCCAGCTGAACGAGATGAGAAGAGAAGAGCACTCATTCTGCTGCGATGTACGTGTGTGTGCATCAAGTCATATGGGAGGCATGACGACAAACTCATGGATTGATCCCGCAGGCCATCATTAAAGAAAAATTCATTCATTTTTGAAGATATGAATAAGTCATAAAGTAACAGCAAGTGCTGTGCCACCGAGCCACATCCCTAGCTCTTAATCTAACATATTAATTAGGCCAACTTCTATTTGCATTTCCCTAATGCAAGCTCTTCATTTTCCAAGTTATATACTGAACCTTACTGAGAATGATTCTTCTAAAAGACAGAAACACTAACAGTCTCTATACTTTTTTTAAAAAACCATCAATACTGGTCAAACCCCTACTCACTTGTAGCAATCAAGCAGGATGAGGTAATAACCAAAATTGAACTATAGGGTACTCAGTTTCTACCAAATATGATTATAGCAGATAGTATATTGACGGAAGTGATCCTATGGCTCTAATGAGTAATTGGCTAGTAGAGATGTATTCTTTGTCCACACGAGCCCCTAAACTGCCCGTTTGTAACAGCCACAGTTAATGGGCACTCCATTACCTGCCGTGATGTGATTAAGGGTAGCCTTGTTTAATCATTCCCAGTATTTGATTCCCCTTGCTTATCGTCTGAATTCTGTAGACAGAAACATGCATTCAGATGAGCTAACCACAGACTGTATGGCTATACATCAGGTTCCTGTGTACCTGATCTGACTTCCAATAGAACTGAATCTGCAAGAGGACTTAGGAAATGTTCCCTAACATTCCCTGTTTCAGCTGCAAAACAGGGTCCCATACTGTGGCTCTTTGGGGATAGGTTACAATCACAGGACAGCACCAAGTACTCAAAGGCCTTTGAAGCCTTTCCACCTAGGACCCAAGAAACCTGAGTAGAGCCCTACCAAGTAACTTTGTCCTCAATAGCCCAGGCCTTCTACACGATTTTCTTTAAATTGTAAAGCCAAGGCACAGTCACACCCTGGAAATGCTTCTCTGAGTACAAGCCAGGCTTGAGCTCTACCCAATTCCGAATTTAGGTTTGGGACAATTGGTTGAGAGTCACACAGTGTTTTTACCTGAGCCCAAGTCACTTTAGACTAGATACTAACTCACTCTGTAGCCCAACATCTCACCTTTGTCTGCTCTTGCTTACAGAAAGGTGATGAAAACGACATTCGATCCATCAATTACTACCCAGAGTCAGCTTCTTTTGACCTCCGCTACTACCCTTACTATGGCAAACTGACTCACGTAAGCTGTATTCTTCTTTCCTCCTGTTTCATAAAGGGCTCAGAGACAAAGGAAGGGCTGCTTAGGATTG